CAAGTCAACGGTATTTATGAGCAGGACTATTGAAGGCAAAGACAATCCCTGTTCTTTATCCATCACCAGGAAGAGACTCCAATGGCCTTGAGATGGCATGTATAGATTTATCCCTCCCTATAGTCTATAGGCTCAGCCTCATGTCCGTCCTCCTTTTGACCTGCCTGCAACCCCCAGCCCTGGGCTGTGAATCCAACCCAAGCACTTTCTTTTCACACAAAGCAAGAGGTAATATCTGTATTATCTGCAGAACCATCCAAAAATTTTGTTCCAAGTGTACCTTTTTTATTAATTCCATATATTTTTATTAGAGTATAAGAAACAATATGTAACATACACTACACTTATACTTATGTCAATATACTTAAAGGAATCAATATTTCTTTATTCTGCTTATTCTGTTACAATAAAGGTAATACACAATTACAAATCTCACATATATATATTAGTAAAATCAACATTTCAGTGCAACCATCTCAGTGAAATGAGATCATCCAACAAAGCTGAAATAAAATGTGTCAATATATTTTTCTGCAACACTTTATTGGCCTTATTATATTTTCATGAAGTGTTTCAGTTTTGATGAAACGGTAGGGTTTGGGCTGGAAGGTGTTCCCTCGGAAAACGCTGGACCTGGGAAGCGCGTTAAGCCAGTCATTTCTCAATTTACACTGTCAGAGCCAAGCTGGACAAATTAAAACATTCAATCTGTCTCTGATGTTTCTCATTCTCTGCTTTGCATGTAATTATCTGGATAAAGGTAGCTCACCCTCGGCTCCCTACTCCTGATTTCATGTGTTAACATTTCCTACTTGACTTGTGAGATCTGGGCTTCAAAGCATCTCTACCAGCTCTGGCAAAAGCCAGTAGATGGCAGGACTGACCCAGGGCTTCGCTTCCCTGGGCACCACGGACACTCCCAAAATACCAGACTGGGTATGTCTATCCCCATTCCAGTTTGATAGCCTCAGACAGCAGCTTTCCAGGAGCGAAATAACACCTCCAGCACCAAGGAAGAATTCAGAGCCACCTTCATCCCAAACAGCTGAGAACCGCAGCACCTCACCGTTGAGGATGACAGTGAAAACACAGCCCAGCTTCAGGGTGCAAAAGCGATCGCAGGAGCGAGGGGCCCTAAACCTCCAAGCATCCAGATGCGCACCACATGTAGCTTTCCCGGAGATGGGAGAGCACGGATGCCTATACCTCATTCCAGCACGGAGGCACAGCCACCCGGACCAGAGCTTCCTGCAGGGGAGGTGGGACCACAGCGACCTTCATTGCAAATATGGTCTCTGGGAGGCAAGTCATTTCCAATAACCCATAGCTTGAGTAAATGAACTCCAAGCAAGGACATTCTTTGAGTAACAATGTGGATCCTTTGAGTAATGATTAAGCAACTGGCTTGTTGGTTTTGGTTTGTTTTTTTTTTTTTTCTGGCTGTTTGTGCAAGGAAGTCACATCAGGTTTGTGTTTTCCAAAAGAAGAAATTTTGCCCTTTTGCAAAAAAAAAAAAAATTCTCAAAAACAGTTGGAAGAACTTTGTTCATTTTTAAGTCCTCCTTTTCGGCAAGCAGCAAAACCCAGCAAACCTGGGTGGAAAGGGCTGGTGCCGCAGTAAGCTTTGAGCATGTACAGACACTACACAAAAATGAGAGCCCTTGCGACGTTGGCGTAGTGGTAGACGGCAGCAGCTGCCGTTCGAATACAGCCATTTCCAGGACGGAAGCACAGAAACCATTTTCTCATTAGCATGCTCCAAAATGGGCAGGTATTTGACTTAAGCTCTTCTTATTTTCCAGTGAAAACTGTTCCGGGATATTTTATGCTTTATGCAAAGCTGCCTCCCCTCGTAACCTCTTGTCTTGACAGCAAAGGTGAAGAACTGAGTTTTCTGCTGAGATTTCGATCTCTAATTCCCCAGTCCAAGTAAACACATTCAAAGCACTTAAGGGCTGTCCCATCATGGCCCTCAAGTTCCAAATCAGCCATTTGGTTTAACAAGCCACCAGTTTTAATGCTCTATAAATGCTGTGTTCTTACTATTTATTTTCTTCTTATTATTAATGTTTTTAATTAACTACAGCTGCATATTTTCAGGTCTTTCGCCCCTGGATTTTACGACAGCTGAGTTTCTCATGATTACTGGTGCTGGGGATGTGGGGGCCAAAAAAATTCTATAGCCGGATCAGAAATTGTGAGAGTTGGCAGAACTGATTATATGAGGCTTGGGATTAAATTATCGAATAACATTTCTTGCATTTGACAAGCTGTCATACTCTGCCTGTCTCTCAAATATACATATATCTATCAAAGAGATCTTTGCCACGTCTGTTCAAAAGGAAAAACTGCAAATCTATCTTCTTCCATATACTAAGCATACAGGAATACAGCACATGAGGAGGAAAGACAAAAAGAGAGTGAAGAGGGGAAAAAAAAAAAAATCTCCATATGCAATCTATTCATCATCTATAGGCTCAAGAACACGTGTGAACTGACCTTCAGAGCCTGTCCCCTGGCAATACCATTAATATAACTTGTTATTTGTATAGGGTAAGTAGCCTGCTGAATGCCCTTCCCTTGCATAACCGAGTCCTCGGCACCAGCAAACTCTGAAGCACTGAGATAGGAAGGAGATGGCCGTTGGAGGAGGCAACAAGGCCTCATAACCCTACTCGTAGCTTTGGCCCACAGGATTGTCCAGCGTGGCATCACGAGCCTCGTAAAGGCATGAACAGGCATCAGGACACAGCTATGCTGATGGCTTTTAAGTTTAGCTCTTTGCTCACGGCAGAGGTGGTGGGAGGGTAATTGAGTCCAAAACCAAGATATCCTATCCAGAAAAGAGTTACAGCCCAGTTACTTGCAAGGTAGAGTGCTCTGGGTGATGCCTTGGTCTCACCCTAGGGCATCTCCGTCCCTCCGACCTGCAGCAATCCCACAGGGACTACACCACCTACTCACAGCAAGTGACGAGGAACAAATTAACCCTGCAAACGAGGTTGCTAACCCTCTTGGGAGGAAGGCTCAGGCACAGAGAAGCTAAGGAATATTTACCCCATTTCTAATAACATTTCTCCCTTGCTCGCCCTGTGCTGTCTCATGTGCATAGCAAAGGTTCGTGGCGCACCTTGAGCCCCGCGGTCCCAGCGCAGGTCCCAGCAGGCAAGCAAGGATGCATTAACCAGAGGAAGGCACATCTCACACCCAAAAAGACAAGCGATGCGTTCTTACCAGACTCATCACCTAATTGCAGGTCACGTCACGATGACCAGTCCCTCCTGTTGTAAAGGCTGTCGTTAGCATCTGTCATTTTAATTAAAAGATGGGGAGAAGGAGGAGGAAAAAAAACACGTAACCACTTTTGTTGCAAGTATTTCTATATACATTTGCACACATCTTTCAAAAGAAGCTGTTTATCACTCATTTAAGTGGGGATAGAGGTATAATTGAACAGTGTGTGCAGCTTGAGAGGCTTAAATAGGAGAACCACGTACAAGAAGGGCATGGCTAGAGTGCCAATGCTACACTTGATTTTTGCTCTAGAAGAGAAAAAAAGCCCAGTGCACCTCTGATCAATCAGTGGAAGCAACAGCAATCTTTCGCCTGATAGTTTAAGGTTCAATTTTGGCTTGTTTTGTGTCTAGCAGGTCCACAGGTAGGCAGAGCAGGTAGGAAACCAGCAGAATGCAGAGATAGCAGGAGGACACATCTCCCATGGGATGGCTGAGAACTTCCAGGAGCAACGCTGCCAAAAGACCTGGGAAGATCCTGGGATCTGAAGGACGGCAGGAGTGGCAGGTTTGGTGGTGAAGTCACCTTCTGCAGTCCACGTGCACCATCAGCCCATCAGACAGGGATTGCAGGTTGAACCTAAAGATCTGTGTATTGATATCTTTGACTTCACTAAATTCTGCAAACAGACCTGTTGCCCTGGATCATTTAGGTATCAATGTTATTGTCTATCACCATCACAAGTCCAAAGTGGGGAAATCGAGGCACCAAGTCTTTGTAATATGCAGACTAATTTTTAGAGGTCCTGTTCCCGGTGCGCTTGCTCCGTTAGAAGTAATGGAGTTGACTCATACCCCAATAACTGGCGTTTTTCACTAAAATGCACCTGGAAAAGGCAATTCCCAAAGAGAGGTGAAACAAGCTGGCCCAGGGATGTTTGTCAGAAAGGACTGCAACAGGGAGAAGATGGACTTGCTGCTCAGAGGCGAACTGGAAGGAATGAGATGAAGGACTCAAAAGCCACTTGAGAGGGTAAGAGGCCCTCGTGCCGGGCATAGTATTTGGGTTTCTTCTAAGAGCGTTTCTAATCTGTCTGGAGCAAGGAAACACACACAGCACACGTCCCATCTCAGGTAACAACAGGAGCATGTTTATTCAGGTCTGGCACTTACAGAGCTCGGAGGGACAAGGTACACGTCATTTGTTTTCCAGAAAAGTCAGCCCAGGATCG